TGGTACCAGGGATTGAACTCCGGTCCTTGCACTTGCGAGGCAGGGAGTGGAACCACTGAGCTAAGTCCCCGGCCCAAGCTTAGGCTCATCTTGAACTAGGTTGCCCAGACTGGCCTAGAACTCGTGATCCTCCTGCCTCAGCCTTCCAAGTGCTAGGATTACAGATGTGCACTATCACGCCCAGCTCTTTATGGGTTTTTAATGTAGTTTATGTCTCAAGCATGAACCAGGTTGGCTGCATATGTGGCAAAAACTTAAAGGGACAGCAGTGCCTGGTCATGATGGGTGGCACGGTGAGGGGAAGAATCAGCTTTTTTTTTTTTCAATACTGGAGATTGAACTTGGGACCTTGTGCTTGCGAGGCAGGTGGTGGGACCACTGAGCTAAATCCCCTGGCCCAGCCTTTTTTTTTTTTTTTTTTTTGATTTGAGACACAGTTTTGCTTTGTAGTTCAGGCTGGCCTTGAACTCACTATGTAGCCCAGGCTGGCCTCCAGCTTGCATCGATCCTCCTGCCTCAGCCTCCTGAGTGCTACAATTACAGGTATGCAGCACCATGCCCATCAGGTTCAGTCTTTTAGTAGGATGCCACCACCTGCTCGGGGAGGGACGCGGAATCAGCTCGTGTGCCCTGACAGGTGAAATCAAAGTGGACCACAAGGTACACTTTCAGCACAATCCCTTTCAGCAGGCTCACTGTCCAGACCAAAAGCGGGCCCCCAGCGCCAGGCCTGCCTGTGTCTTAGCATCCCTCAGGGCTTGCACTATGCTGTCACTGAGGCCTGGGGAGGCAGCGACATTGTGAGGTAATGTGGTCAAACTCTGGCTTCAAGGGTGAGGGCCGCAGCCTAGGGGCTCTGTGGAGTTAGTCTGGTTTCAGACCTAATTCTGCTCCCACTTATCCAGGGGCCTCTTCCTGCTGCTTTCTCCTACCCTCTGGGATCCTCTCTGTGCCACTGGCCTCACCTAGGATCCTCATGTTCCTCAATTTTTTTCATAGTTTTTTTTTTTTTTTTAAAGAGACACAGTCTATTCATGTTGCCTTGGCTGTAGCACTCCTTCTGTCCCAGCCTTCCGAGTTGCTGGATCTATAGGTGCATGCCACTGTGCCCAGCTTCTCAGTCCTTTTATAAACCCACATAACTGCTGCACTCTTGAGCGTCCCAACCCAGTGCAGGTTTCCCCATGTGCTCACAGCACCCCATCCTACTCATAGTCTGGCCTTCTCTCAGGAACACAGCCCCACACCCCCACACCGCTCCTCTCCCGCGTCACGCCCCAGCTACTCTTTTTCCTCCTTCCCCATCCCTCACTCCTTTCCCAGGCCTTTTGTTTAGGCTTAGGTTAGTGGCTGCCAAGTGAAAGAAAGGGAGGGCAGAGATAAGCTTCCCATAAGTGGGTTTACTGAGGGCCAGGAGGGAGAAGAAAGAAACCCAGGGAGATCTCATAAGAAAGCAAGAGAGTGTGGTGGCACACGCCTATAATTCTAGTACACAGGAGGCTGAGGCAGGAGGTTCACCGTTGAGTATGAGATCAGCCTGGGATGCACAGTGACTTCAAGGTCAACCTGAGCTACGTAATAGTGAGACCCTGACTCAAGAAACAAACAGACAAAGAGCAAGAGAAACAGACAATGTAAAATATACCAGTAAGACTAAAGAATCCTCAGGGAAGAAATGGGGAAGCAAAAAAAAAAAAAAAAAAAAAAAAACCTCAGACGGCAGATGAACCAGAATGTATTGCACAGGAAGGAAGAGACAGTGGACGCAGGGAAGAGGACACAAGATCTGTTCAGACCTTTCAGCTCTGGCTCTGACAGTTTGTGTCTCAGATAAAGTTCTCCAAGCCTCAATTTACTCATCTATAAAATGGGGACAATGCCTACCTCAGTAGAAGCAAAATCAAGGCAGGCAGAGCATTCAGAAACTAACTGGCACTTAGTAGATACAGATATGGACTTGCTGGTGGGAGAAGAAATGATGTGACAGAAAAATGAGAATGCACTGGAGGAAAAAGGACTGTGGGTAACTGGGGAGGAAACAGAACAAGGGAGGAAGAACATCAGAACGAATATATTTGTTAAAACTTTTCTGTCTTCACAAAAGGGAAGATGTAACTCTGTTAACCAACATGGAAAAAGCCTACCGTGTGGTAATTTCATAAATGCCAAGTTAAAGCAGCAACAAATTACTATCTACCAAATAAGCAAAAATTTAAAAATTGCTATTGCTGTGCATGGTGGTGCACACCTGTAATCCCAGTATTCAGGAGGCCGAGGCAGGAGTATTGCTGCAAGTCTGAGGCCAGCCTGGCCTACACAGTGAATTCAAGGCCAGTATGATTATAGTGTGAGACTTTGCCTCAAAACAAAATTTAAAAAAAATTTTTTTAATTTAATTATTTATTTATTTATTTAATTATTTATTTTTTGGTACTGAGGATTGAACTCAGGTTCTTGTGCTTGTGAGGCAGGCAGCAGAACCACTGAGGTAAATCCCTGGCCCCCCCAAATTTTTTTGCTCTCACCCCTTGCTGGCTTATAGGAGCCCATCATAGGACTGTAACTTTGTGCAGTACTTGGGGAAAAGCAACAGTGTAATGTATAAGCATGAATATATATATATATACACATATATATATGTATATATATACACACGTATATATATACGTATATATACGTACACACACACACACACACACACACACACACACACATAAATAACCTGGAGACTTCACGGTACCTGGCAGAAACTGGTAGAAGGGCTCTAAACCTGGACTGACTTGGCCAGATTTAGAGGCACCACTGGGTGGCGCCACAGAGTCAGATTTGAGGATGATCTTTTCCTTCTCTCCTTGCAGGCAGACAGGTCTTCGGAAAGACCCACTGATTTAGGATAGCTGGCTTCTCCTCAGCATCAGAGGATGAAATCTGATTCATCTAAGAAACCAGTCACATAATTCCATTGCCTTTGCCAAATGAAGGATCTAAGCATAAGATGACACAGAATTCTCACCAACAGGACCAACTGGGAAATCATCTGGGAGGCTTCTGGTAAATTTTTCCTCACTTTAGAAAAGGATGTAAGACAGAAATGACTTCCTTCTTTTATGACTGCAGCCGCCACCTTGGATTAAACACGAGGACAAAAGCCCAACCAACTGAAGATGACAAAGGAAAAGAAGTTGGAAAAGAAAGAAGTTGGGAGTTGCTGATCTCGGACTGCTGGATTAACCACACTGGAATGGCCCTACTGCCAGATCTCCAGTGACAGAGAATACTACAGCAATCTTTTTCCATCCTTCCTATCACTCTCCTTCCTTCTTTTCTTTCTCATGTGACTAAAAAGATTCTAAATGATACAGTCAAGAGTATTTTAGCTGGGTGTGGTGGCACGCACCTGTAACCCAGCATTCAAGAGGCCGAGGCAGGAAGATTGCGCCAAGTTCAAGACCAGCCTGGGCTACACAGTGAGTTCAAGGCCAGCCTGAGCTACACCGTGAGACCCTGTTAAACCAAAACGAACAGGAGTGTTTTGCAGTGACTGAAAAGAGAAATCAGGAGTATTTTGCAGGAGACTGAAAAAGGACTAAACAAGAGCACTGAACAGAAGAGTGGAAAGGACAGATTATTGTGAGAAAGGTTAAGCAAGAAGAATTTACTGGTTTGGTAACAAATTAGGTGAGTGAGAAAAACTGAGGCTGATGTCCAAGGATTTAGGCTTAGGTACTTGGGGGATGGTGGGTCCCCTAGTTGACATGTAGTTTTTTTCCCTGCTTTTTAAAAGGTTGTATATTCCTGTACAGGCAGCTCCAATTTCAACCCATCTCTCTCACAGTTCCAGGAAGTAGAAACTGTGCTACATGTGATTTCTGTTTTAGAGAACTACTTACTCTGAGTCCTTTAGGTTTAAAGTTGACAAGGGTTGCGGGTACAGCAGTGGTACAGTGCTTACTTAGCATGCACAAAGCCCTAGGTTTCATTAGCAAAATGGGAAAGAACGGAAAATACCCTGTCCTCACCTTGATCAGCTCCTCACTGACTAGGGCACTGAAGGAGAAGCCTCAGCTAAAGATCTATAGAGAAAGATCACCTTAAGATTGCTGCTTTTGGACTGGGGATGTAGCTCAGCTGTGCCACGCCTGCCTGGCAAGCGAAAGGTCCTGAGTTCAATCCCTGGTACTGAAAAAAAAAAAAGAAAAAAAAAATCATCCCCAGCCAATACAGGACAGAAAGATATTTTGAAATTAAGGGGAAAAAAGCTAAGCATGGTGGCACATGCCTATAATTCCAGCACTCCAAAGGCGGAGGCAGAAGGACTGCCTCAAATTTAAGGCCATCTTGGGCTGCATAATGAGTTCAAGGCCAGCCTGAGTTATATAGTAAGACCTTGCCTCAAAACAAAACAAAAAGGGCCAGGGATTTATTCAGTGGTGTCACTGCCTGCCTCTTAAACTCAACGTCCCAAGTTTGATCCTCAGTATCAACAAAACAAAATAAAGAGGAAAGAAAGAAACTCTAAAAGTTGGTTATTGTCCTTTAATTCTCCCTCAAACAACAGCGTGCCATCTAGCTCTTCCTGTGTTAGAGGGCAGGAGAGTGGCTGCAGAATCATGGAGGGTGCCAAGGAGTACTTAGATGGGGAAGATCTGGGGAATGGAGAAAGAGGAAAAGAAGGGAGAGTGCCTCTGCTTCGGCAGGAAATCCAAAAGTCATTTGGGACCACCCAGGAGTAGTGGTGTGGGTGGGGGATGCTATGTGGATGTATGCACATGTGTGACCTGGGGCTGTAAGCAGGCAGGGAAACATCTGCTCTGGACCTCAGGGCTTGCCTACAGTGTGAGTGTAGGAGGGTCTGCGTAGGGCTGAGGGTAGGGTGGGGATGGCGTGTAAGAGCTCAACAGGCAGGCAGGCTCCCAGAAACATCTGCTCTGGATCCTAGGACTTGCCAACATTTGAAATAACTCAAGGGTGTGAGACTCCAACCTGGGCCCTGCCTCTGGGTACGGGCCAGAGCTGGGGGAGGTCTGGGGGAGCCTACAAATACAAATTTCCCAGGAAGAACAGAGCAGAGTTGGACTGTCAGTGGGCTGGCATCTGAAACCAAACCTCAGGAAAGAAACCAGTCACAGTGAAATTATTAAGAAGAAATAATTTTTACCTAATACTTCCATTAGGAAGTAAGGATTCAATTCCATCTGACCCTGGGTGTCCTCAAAGTGCAGAGTATGTAATGCTTCTACACTAAATGCTTGAAGGGGCCTGGATGTATGTGTCCCCTTCAAGAGACCCAGCCAGATGATTCCATTTTTCCAGCCTTCAAGTTCTAAACTAACTTTCATTCTTTCCTTTCTCTTTCTTTTTCCTTCCTTCCTTCCTCCCTCCTTTTCTTTTTCTTGTACCAGAGATCAAACTTGGGACCTTTGAGGCTTGAGGCAGGTGGTGGAATCACTGAGCTAAATCCCTGGCCCTTCCTTCTTCCCTCTCTTTCTTAGAGGATCTCCTTTCTTCCTTAGACTGGCCTTGAATTCTTGGGCTTCAGTGACTCTCCTCCTCAGACTTATGAGTAGCTAGGAGCACAGGCTTAACTTTTTTCTTTTTTTGGTACTGGGGATTGAACTCAGGATCTCGTGCTTGTGAGGCAAGCACAGTGCCACTCAGCTAAATCCCTGGCAGGCCTAACTTTTTAATTCTCCTGGTCAGAGGTGACCTTTCCCTAGCTTCTTCTCCTCCTATTTTTTTTTCTTTTGAGACAGGGTCTCACTATGTAGTTCACTCTGACCTTGAACTCACTATGTAGCCTAGACTAGCCTTGAGCTCAGAACAATCCTCCTCCCCCAGCCTCCTGAGTGCTGGGATTACAGGCTGCACCACCGCACCTGGCTATCACCTTACCCTGCCTTCTTATACAACATAGTCATATTCTGCTTTGTATTATATTATAGCTATCCCAGCACATATTTACTTTCCTTGCTACTAAAAGATGGATCTTGCCTTTGTAATTCTGTTGCACTGTAAAAGGTACACACTAAAAGTTGGCAATAAGTGCTAAATAAACATGCACGATCACAAACATATATACCTATTTGCAGGATGCTACGGACTTCAGTGCCCATTTATGGGAATGGCAGGGCAGATGCTTATGTCTGGGTACACAGGCTCTAAGCAGCCAATGCCCCGGAAGACGCTCTGCCAAGCCTTCCAGGACTCAGTGGCCAGCTCCTCACACTGTTCTTGTCTTGGGCTTAACACACCCCCAGTAGCTATGGGCAGTGTCAGTAACTCACCTTCTACCCAGAGCTGTTCCAGGTCTGTCTCAATAATGGCCACACGGAGACCCAGCGCCAGAGCCCCAAAGGCCAACAGTCCCAGGAAGAGCACCTTGCCACAGTGTCTCTGGATGCCGCAGCCCAGAGAGAAGAGCAGACCCTGGAAGTAAGCGCGAAGCCAGAGTGGAGCCTTCAGGCTTCCAGCTAGGATCTGTGATGGAAAGAGAAGGGTCAGCCAAGGTGTCACTGAAACAATGCATGAAATTCTCTTCTTTCTGGTCACCCTCTGCCAAGCACCAGTTTCTTTATTTCTGGGTGTAGGACAAGGATCAGCTACAGATACAGGCCCAAGCTTGGAAGAACTCCCCGCCCCACAGCCCTGCCACATCGCACACTCGAGGAAAGTATTAAATCCACTTTGTAGAGTAGAATACCTATATTTACAGCTATACCCCGTAGTCAGAAGTGAACCCAGACCACTCTACAGTCCAGAGGACACCCCACACACACCTTGCACAACCAGGGAAATTCTCACTCGTCTTCAAAAAGATGCCCATCGGCAAAGGGCACTCAAAAACATCACACCCTGCAGAGGCCTGAGAGACAGACCTGGCTCCACTCTTCTTTATTCCAGCTTCCGCTCTACTCACCTGAGATGCTGCAGGTGGAGTTGGGGACGTGCAGTCGGGGGACAGCTCTCTGAGGGACTGCGGTCCAGCCATCCTGGCCGGATGGCGGGCGCGGGTGCCCCCAACCTGCGTTATGTGGAGTCTCTCATAGAAAAGCTTGGTGGCCGCGGAGCTGCCCACTGAGCTTCAGTGGGGCCGAGAAGACTCCAGCGTGTGTGCGATTGCAGGGGGAAAAGCGCAGCGGCGGCTGTGAGAGGGAAAGCCGGGATGTGCAGCGTAGTGCGGGTCTTCAGCGTAGCGCCCCGGCTCCTCAGATCGTTGACCGGTGGGTTCCACGTGTAAGCAGAAGTGGCGGCCCGCGATGCACGATGCACCCCGCAGCTCAAGTTAAGGACTGATGAGTCCGGGAGGCTGCTAGAGCCCCAGAAAAAGGGAGCAGGCCCGGGCGACGCCATCCCATTGGCTGAGGGGTCGGCAAACCACCGGGAGCTGCGCCGCCCCGTCCGCTGCTAGGTAACGGCGCCGCAGGGGGCGGGGCCGGAGACCACCCAGGCAGGGCCACCCCAGCCCCAACCGCCAGCCCGCCCGCCTCGGGGCCCTCGGGAGGAGGAGGGAGGGAGATCCCGGAGCTCAGTCCTGGCGGAAAGAGCCGGAGCGGCTGGTGCTGGGAAAGGGCGTCTGCTGGCCCCGATAGGGCTACATTTTCTTCCCGACCCAGCCCAAACCCAGACTACTACTTTTCACTTTTCCTGGTCACCATTCTTATTTAAAAACAATTGTTTCTCCCTGAACACTATTCTTGTCCCCTTCAGTTCACTCCTTCCAGGGAGGCCTAGTCATCTCCCTAAAATGCAAATCTGATGACAGCTCCTAAGCCCAAGGTCGTCTAGAAGCACAGGGTCTGACTAAAGCTTTCTCTCACAGGTTCCTCACACCCACCCAGGGGTTTTCCAGTCTTGAAGAGGCACCAAATACTATCTTGTCCCATGCCTTCCTACTTTTTGCACATAATCTTTTTTTTTTTTTTTTTTTTTTTTTTTTGAGAGACAGGATCTCGCTGTATAGCCCAGGCTGGCCTGGAACTCTCAGCGATCCTCCTGCCTCAGTCTATTAAGTGCTTTTGCACATCATCTTCAAAACCGAACTTAAATTTATCACCTTCTCTTTGAAGTTTCCCTCAATTCACACCTCCCTTCTGACAGATAATTGCTTCTTTCTTTGTGTTCCTTATAACAATCAATCTATGCATTATTGCATTTATGATGAAATAACTTCTGTATAGTACTTGAAAGTCTGACTTTCTTATTGGATAGTATACTCAATAATTGTTGAGTGGTGCCACGGGTGTAGCTCAGTGGTGCCGCACCTGCCTCGCAAGCACAAGGTCCTGAGTTTGATCACTGGTACCAAAAAAAAAAAAAAAAAAATTGAGTCATTAGTGTAAGATTTGAATAGGCTAAAGTGACTCCATGCTAATAGGCCAGACTGTGCTTCTTCATATGCTAATTGCTACCTTGGTTAACAGCCCGCCCAGGGGCAAATGGTTTGACAAAAGGTGACCGTGGAACATTTCCTGCATAAGATAAGCAATGTGTTTGCAGTCTTGTTCTGCGAATTCCCTGACTCTTTGTTTAGAAAAACCTTATAAAAAGTACCTCAGCCCCTGAGCAGTTGCCTCTCCCGGAGCCACGTGGCTCCGGGAGTGCCGTCTGGCCCGACTAATAAAGGTCTATTTACCATCTAGCCTGGTGTGTTCCTTCCTGGGTTTCTCGTTTCTCCGTCGAGCTCCCGCAGCCTCGCTGGGTGTTAGGGCCCAGCATCGTGGAGGCCATTTTGGCTGTTCACGCTCCGTGGAGTGAAAGTGAGACTTTAGGTCTTACATTAGAATTGAAGAAATCAAGTGTAAAGGATGAGAAACAGGATGAAGCTAAATCATTTTTTCTTCCTTTCCATTCCTTCTTTCCCTCCCTCCCTCTCTGTTCTTTCTTTCTTTCCTTTCATGTTTTACACTGGGGATTGAACCAGGGCTTTCACACTGAGCTACATCCCCGGCCCTTTTCTCCCTTTTTTTTTTTTAGAAAGGAAATTTGCCACTAAGTGGATAAATAGCCCAGGCTGGACACAAACTTTTCATCCTCGTGGCTCAGCTTCCAGGGTGTTGGGATTACCGCATGTGGCACCAGATCTGGCTCCTCCACTAAACTTTCAACTATATCCCATTTGAGTGTGTTGTGCCTGTCAGATCCCTGACTGATACCCGCCCCAAAGAAGGGTAAAAATCAGTATTCCCATATGTAAAGGTGTTTTGTTGTTGTTTTGTTTGAGACAGGGCCTTGCTATGTAGTTCAGACTGGTCTTAAACTCATTATGTAGCCCAGTCTGGCCTCAAATTTGTGGTGATCCTCCTGCCTCAGCCTTCCAAGTAAAGTTTATGAAAGAGAAAAAGAATCTGTAATAAAAATGTTATTCTACCACAATTATTATTATCTCTGGCTAACTTCTTAAGTCATTTCTTTCAGACTTCTTTATCATTACATCATAAACATTTCATGTTTCTTCACAGTCTTTGTATCAGTCATTTTCAGAATGTCCTCAGGACAGATTCCCAGAAATGGGGTTGTTTGGGTCAAAAAGTATGACCTTTTAATGGTCTTATTACACACTGCCAAACTGCTTTTTGCAAAATTTGTGTGAATTAACTTCGTCTTCAGAGTCTCAGCCCTATGAAAAGGGAAACTTCAAGTTAAGGAGATGAACACCAAACAGCTTTGCCACTTCCATCTGTCCATTCCTCCAGCAAAATGCCTATGGAGGGACTGACATGTCTGACACTGTTGGCCAAGTGGTAACTAACTGCACACGAAATGCAGCCAATATGTGTACTATTTTCTTCCTCCCGGACAGAGGTTTGATTCCACTCTGGATAAAGAAAGTGTAGCCCTGACAAGTCTTTGGAAATATAAATGGCCTCTAACCTACACTGCTCTTGGGGCTACAGAGAAAGGCAGAGAATGGCCTGGGATCAGAGCTGGATATGCTAACTTGGAGTACAGTTGCTTTGCCTCATGCAGATCTTGAGATGATCTTCCTTCTTACCAGATTCCGCAGACTTAAGGTCCATGGAGAAATAGGTTTGTAATCACTCAGGCCTTGGACTCTGCTTCCATGACAGCCCTACCACTGCTTACGATTGTGGTTAAGTCCTGCATTTTTATAGTTGCTTCCAGGCCAGGCCTGCCTACTGGGAGAACCTCTTGCCAATCAGACCATGTGGGAGAAATGGGTCCACAGTTCCCAGCCTTTCCAACTTTGCGCTTAGTGCTTTCTGGCTACTTCAAGTCCCCAGATGACCTTTCTTTCCCTCAACAAAATGATTTCCTGAGTGCAGTTGAACTCAGCCAGAGCTAAAGCCACTGACCCCATGAAATTAAAGGGAAGGGAAGAAGAGGCTCCTCTTCGTTCTGCAAGCAGACTGCTTCCTGCTGAATGACTTGTTTCATTATCACTTCCACTGGATTGAGGGTATGTGTCTGGGTCCAAATTAGAGACATTCTCCAAAGAATAAGAAAGGAGAAAAGCAATTTAATTAAGTTCATTATTATCAAGGATTACATTTAATTACTGGTTCATGAGTCAAACATGTCTCAGGGTCTTATGTGCTCTTCACTGAGCTATGGTTTTAGGGTACGTTGTTTTTGTAGGAGTTCACAGCCTGAGGGGAGCACACAGAACACAGGGGAAACAGCTATGAGCCAGGGGTACTCAGGGAGGTTTCCAGAAGGGAGAGAAAATGGATGTTTTTTTGTTTTGTTTTGGTTTTTTTTTTTTGCTAGGACAGTCTAAAAGAAGACCGGCTGGTATGATAGCAACTGCCTGTAATCCCAGAATTATTAGGAAGGCTGATGCAGGAGAATAGCTTAGACTACACAGTGATTTGAAGACCAACCTAAACTACCAGATGTGGTATACCAGATGTGGTGGCACTCACCTATAATTCCAGAACTCAGGAGGCTGAGGCAGGAGGATCACTGAGAGTTTGAGGCCAGCCTGGACTACATAGTGAGACCGTCTTAAAAAAAAAGAAAAAGGCATACTTCAAGGTCTGGATCTTTCGTTTACTGGCTATGAGACTGTCAGATTTTGGGTGTCACATAACCTCTGGCATTGATCCAAAAATTGAAGTGGACAGCCTGGCTTCAGAAAGGGTACACAAGGGAGTTAGAGGGAGCCAGCAGGCCTTCTCTTCCCAGCATTCCCTTGGGCTTCTCACTGACTGTGCTTTGTGTTGGCTTCTGTTTCTGGGCCAGGCAGAGTCAGCAATATGTGGTGGACGGAAGCAGGAGCTCTGCACAGCCCTCAACTCCCGCCATTCCATTTAGGGGCCAACCTGGGAATTTAATCTCCTCTGCAGGCAGCTTCAGGTGAACAGTTTCTATTAAGTCTCTGGTGCCAAAGGCTGCAGACAGAGATCAGAGAATGGCCCTTCACCTTGCGTGCGGGGGAAACAGAGAGTGGAGGGACCAAAGCAGCCATCATTTTCCATGGAAGAAAGAACACTGAGGCCAACCTGGGCTGCACAGTGAGTACAAGGGCAGCCTGAGCAACAGAGCGAGATCCTGTTTCAAAACAAAGCAAGACAAACAAAACAAAAGAACCCTGATGCTATCCCCCCCCCCCGCCCCCGCAAGACAGCTCAGGCCAAGGACAAATCATCCTTATCTCCAAAAGAATTTGTTCTTCCCCAGCCTTTTTTTGCAGGTCCGCTTTTAAACCTTCTGTTTGGGTGGTCCTTCCCACTTCCCCTCCCCTTCTCTGAGTAATTTAACTATTTTAGCTAGCTTGCTTGCTTGCTTTCTCCTTTTAAAATGGGGCCTTGCTGTATTGCCTAGGCTTTTCTTGAAATCCTGGGCTCAAGTAATTCTCCTACTTCAGCTTTCTGAGTGCTGAACTGGTGTGTGTGTGTGTGTGTGTGTGTGTGTGTGTGTGTGTGTGTGTGTGTGCGTGCGTGCGCGTGCGTACGTATGTGTGTATCTCTGTGTATGAGTGGCTTACATTTGTAATTTAAAAAAAGGCACACAAGTTGGGCATGGTAGTACACGCCTGTAATTCCAGCACTGGGAGGCTGAGGTAGGACTGTCATGAGTTTGAGGCCATTCCAGGCTACACAATTCAAGGCCAGCCTGAACTACATAGAAAGACCCTGCCCTCAAAAAAAGAAAAAAAAAAAAAAGAGGCAAGCAAGCAGCATACAAAGATCTGGTTTATGTATCTCCATAGAGGTGGGGATGGCTGTGGATAAATAAACCGCACCCCCTGTAATCTCTGGAAACAGAAACAGCCCTTAAACTAGGCTGTATAGCACCCTAGATTGCTGCCCCTGGGGCTGCGCTAAACATGACTTCCCCTTCTTCCCGAGGGTGGCAATGCAGTGAAGGATTGGAAAGAAGTTCAGCTTGTGGTCTTAGGACAAAGCTGGCAGGGCAGTCCTGGCAGTCAGGCCCTTTACAAGTTCAGGGAATTCTC